GACCAGTAATATTTGGGGTCACAAGTTTTTGCCGTGAATATTTTGTGGCTCAGAAGATAAAAAGTTTGGGAACCACTGCTCTAAAGTACTAGTTACTCACTATTTTACAGTCTCCTAAGACAATGTTAGGTCCACATCCCAAAAACTTTCAAATAGAAAAAATATTAGATAAAGATAATTATGTTTCATCACAGAATTATGTAATGTTTTTATACTGGAGTGAATATTTTTGACTCCCAGTAAAACTGGGTCTGGCAACGCCCATGATTGACACAGAGTTTATTTATTTACGAGACAAAACACAAAATAAACAAATGTAAACAACCTTTTAGTTGCAATAACAATAATAGTTTTTTGGCTATCATAATTATGACATGCAGATTTATTTGAGTAAAAATTCTAAGTGCAAACGTTCAAAGAAGAAAATAAATTAAAAATAGTATTTATTAAAGTTTATTTTAAGGAGCGTTTTCTTCTCTGCTCTTCATCCTGCCGCAGCTCTGGAGTGACGATGATGATGTTTCCGCCTCGTGAAGCCTGGAACTCGCGTCACCATGGAAGCACTCAGTTTGCTACATGCATTCGCCATTTTGCTGCCTCGGTGTGTGTGTGTGTGTGTGTGTATATATATATGTGTGTGTGTGTGCGTGTATGTGTGGCTCCTTTCGATGTGAATACCTCCATACAGCTCCCAAACATCCAACACTTTCCCGGCTGAGAGAAGAAGAAGAAATGTCTTCATTTCTGGACCGAACCGTGGTCGCTGCAGCCTGACATGGAGAAGAATCGCCGGACAGCGGAACAGTAGTTTCTTCCACGGTTATCGAGGAGGGCCAGTGGGGAAATTCAAGCGAGGTTCGTCTTCTTTCTAACTTTGCTCCGAAACACGGTCAAAAATGAGCGGAGTGGCACGAGCTGTTCCACCGCTAGCTAACGAGGCTATTAAACTATCATAACGGAGATACTTAATGAGCAGATAACTGTTCCCATACTGGACTGGAGGCATTTATTTAATAACGTTATGTACAACAGATAACGCTAACACAGTCTGTTTAGGTAAAACCATGGAAGCCACAAGTGGTTGTATCCATCAGCTCTAATCATTAACCTACATGTTTATTAACGAGTAATAATGTGACTTAAAATGTGTTATCAGAGAAACAAAAACACGTTTGCTTCACTAAAGGAGCAAAACACAACAAGAGACAGATAACTGTGAAAACATATGACGATCATAAAACCAAACAAACAAAYTAATTAATAAAAAATGCTAAAGAACCATTACAATAACAGTAGGTGCAGGAAATAGGAATAAAGTGTAGTTCTATAAAATAATCTGCATAGTTTTTTACCTTTTAAGTTTTTTTTTTTTTGTCGTGACAATTTAATATTTGGTAAAGAAGTATCATTTGCTAAAATTTCAGAATAAATTTAGTTTAATGTATCGATTTATTCTTTTTCAACAATGGCTAAATTAATAATTAACTAAATTCATCAAAGCAATTTTGCAGCAATCTCTTCATCGCACTATTTACATTTATTTACACAACTGTTTAATGTACCTGTGACATTTATATCCTTCAAATACAAAAAGTAAAAGACAACATCTTTACTGAAACTTGGCATAAACACACAGTTTTACCCATTTTGTCACATAACTGATTTTCTTTGGAACTTGGCTCAGCCGGAGTGAAACAGGAAGTGACATCAAAGGGGAACTCCCTGGTCTTTGTTTATTGAAACAATATCATTTATATTCAGACTTTTTTTTCTTCTCTCTAATAGTATCACAAAATAAAGAAACATCAGATTCTTCTGTGTTGTGTTGTTAGTCATTGTAGCAATGCTCTGTTTATGTACAGACATTTCCCTTTGACATCACTTCCTGTTATTTCACAGGCAAATATCTCAACTGTACATCTCAGCATTATTATTATTATTATTTGCAATATGTTATTAATAACGTCTTTCCAAAAATGCATTCATTTTTATTGCAAAAAATGATGTAACAGGCTCTTTAAAAAAATATATATATATATATATTTGCTTTTTAAAAAATGTTATTTAAAAATATATTTTTTCCTTTTGCGTATTTGGTCTTTAAGCGTTGACTTTTAGCTGTTGTTGACTGTACAAACTGCCCACATAACAAAATTTGTCTGACCCAGTTCTGGCCCATACAAGGCACAATGATTTGCAAAACAAATTTAATAGAGAAAAAATTCCTTAAGTTTCAGTCTACCGTCTAGAAGACCATATAATTATATTATTTTAACCCCTGTCRATGGTYTACATTATCTCTATTATCTTTTGTTTCTAGTTTTGTTGTGTTGCTTTGTCTGGTGTTGCAGTGTTTTGGTTTTACTTCAGGATCTCTGTGGTTGAGTGTGTATCCTCTCTGTGTTACAGTCAGAGCTTGACAAACAGGACTGCAGGTTTTCATCATTATCTGCCCAAGATGAAAGCACACGGTAAAGGGGAGGAACATTTCTGCCCTCAGTGGATTCTGTTTGCCTCCCTGGATTCTCACATTTGACACATCCRTAAGACCACCAATGATGATACCAGGATTGATCTCCCAAGAGTTACACGACCAGCTTCTGGACCCGAAGAATTACCAGAATCGCACCAACGGGGTGGAGAAGCTTAAGCACATCCTGTCAGAGGTGGACACCAAGTCGGTCCCGTCTGCTAGTATTGAGGAGTTCATCAATTTTCTTCCAAGRCTTCTCGATGACAGTAATTTTAAGGTGCTGTACGGCACCTTACAAGTTTTAAATKTACTAATTCAGAAGTTAGAGACGGGTGTAGACAAATTTTTGAAACACATAGTTTTAGTTGCCCTCAAGGCTCTTGGTGACACTCGCACCGTCACCAGGAATGAATACCTTAACGTTTTTCAGCAACTGATGAAAAGGGTCCCACCGCAGCACGTATTAGACCTCGTCATCGGCAACTTGAAACACAAAAACTCCAGGGTACGGGAAGATGTTCTTAACATCATCGTGGCAGCTATGCTCACTCATCCCAGGAAAGACTTTAACATTCCCAAGCTTTGTTTTGAGGTGGCTCCATACTTGGCAGACAGTAAAAGAAAGGTCCGCCACGCTGCCCTGGAGCTGTTTGCTGTTTTTGACCATTGCCTCGACACGGGGAAAAAGCAGCCGCTAATMAAAGCTGTGGACATGGTTGAGCTTAACGAGGACGCAGAAGGTCTGATGGCAGCTGTGCAGGCGAGACGAGCCAGGCGCATTCTTCCAAAACTAACCCCCGAGGGGACTGTGGAGTATGGTTTGGCGGTGCCCAAACCTGGACAGTGGTCCACAGGGCAGTACGGTTCTGGAGCTGATCTGGACTGGGTGATAAAAGGAGGCCGGACAAGCAGTGCCAGGAGCTACAGGACAGAGCCAGACAGTAATCGATTGTATGGCTACGGCAGCTTAGGCTCGCTCACAGACGACCTACCACTTCAAAGAAGAATCGTCAGCGCAGGTAAAGGGAAGAACAAGCTACCTTGGGAGATATCGAGCTTCTCGTCGACTGACAGTGAGCAGCAACAGCACAGTGCACCTAATGGGAGGAGCTCTGAACAGGTGAGCTTTCTCATCATTGGCCTATCATTATATTCAATTTTTTCTCTCATTGTAATAACACTATTAGATTAAATTAGATTTTGTTTTTGATAGCTGTGACAGTTAACATTGCTTTGGTATATTATTAGCTACTTTTCCTTATTCTAGGGAAAAAATACAGCAGCAAGAAAAAATACAAATTTGATACTTTTTTATTAATTTATTTGAAGCAAATAAACTGGGATTGGTAGCATTGTTAAAGGGTGACARTATAACTTACCGTCCTTCTGGTTGTAAATTAGGAAAAGTAACAAACTCAGAAAACATCTACAGAAATAAAATGACAAAAAACATGAATTAAGGACTGTATTTATGTTTACATATATTTGAGATACTGTTCTTTTTCAAAACATACCAAAATCAACTCAAGCAAGCTAAACAGCATTTTTGGAGTGCATTTGTAGAAGATTTTGATTTAGAAAAAGTAACTCCTGCCATTAAAGGGTGTATTATGTTATGTCATAGTCTATACCACARTCAAGTTATGAAATTGTTATGGAAACGCTGTGTAAACCAAAAATAAATTTGACTTTGCATCATAGTCTATCGTAACGTCTTGAAATTGGACTTTGTCTCTTTAAGAACCTCCTACCGTTTCTGACACTCCCACTTCAGCACGTCTTCACAACAATGTTTCATTGGGGTGGGAGCACAGCTGCAGACTGAGCTCCAGGGAGGAGCTTTGTTTAAATAGGTGGTGCTTTGTGCCAGCAGGCGTTYAAACAGCTTAACGTGGCCACAGGAGATTTAAGGATTTCTCAAACATGCGTGAATGAGTCAAAGCAACACTCTGGGTTTGATTTTGATGAGGGAATGACAGTATAACATGATGTAAAGCTCAAAAAAGTTTATTTTGCTTAATTCCTCCCTTTAATCTTTTCTTATTCAGATTTTCCAGATATAAATCTAAGTAGTAATGAAAAATTGACATCTGGGAATCAAATTGTCTTTTTAATTGTCAGATTATTAAATAAATTAGACTACTATTAATTGAAAAGAGTGTGCTAATCTTTTTGTCTAAAGAGGCYTTAAGAATAAACTCATCACTTGCTGGATGTCTCTTTAAACTGTTCTAAATTACAGACAAAAATGACAAAGGCCTTTAATATCACTGTATTTGATTTAAGCATTGAAAATGCCATTAGTCTTTTTCATTGTGTGTATCTTTTGTTAGGAGAAGGTGTAAAGAGCAAGAAAGTCTTGTTGGTAGCACTTTCCTCAGAGATGGTTTGAGGTGAAAAGTATCTAAATATAGAGTCAATTTTTCATGATGCAGTGTGGATCGAGAGCAGCAACCGAGGGAGGGATTGCATCCTATTTAGTTTATTTTCAATTCGCAAGTATGAGTCATAAACACATCATTTATTTCCAGGAAAGTGCCATTAAAATTTTTATACTAGCATATGGAATAAACAGATATATAGATATAAACGCTTCRGAGCGCTGCAGTAACGCTGACACCATACCCACTGGATATACAGYGGATGACTCATTTTCTTGCACATCAACACTTGCTGCGAAAATGAGCAGAAACTATTTTAAGACTAAGCCATGTGACAGTGTRAGACATTTATTTGTTTAAATAATATTTGAGTTACATGAGTTCACAAACAGAATAAATCTGCCTCCACCAGCTGTTGTTTAAAATATCCATTTGCTGTGGCACGTAGCTTTGTTTTATGAGATATTTCTCATAAGTAGTTTTGGTAACCATTTTCCAGCTGTCACCTAATTTGAAAAAAAAAAAAAAAACCTGTTTACAGTGATGTTTGTTTCCCAGCAACACCAGTAACATTCGAAGCACCCATCGGCGAGGCAGTGAAACATAATTGGTTATATCACAGGGTCACTCTTGTTCRCTAAGGCTCGTTTAATGCACTCATTGCGAGCGCTCTGCGGTGAGTGTTGATCTGATAGTAGGCTGYGGGAGTTCAGTCAGACTGTTTTATTTCAAAGACAGAAAACTACATTCATTCAAAATCTGTAAGAATCTGTCATAACTGTGATTTTGCATCTCGTTTATGTTTGCTGTCGGCTTCACGTCCAGCAGAGAAATCCCTTGTTGATTCTTGGAAGAGACACAAACAGATTGCACCGCCYTTTGTTTAGTCTAGAGGATGGAATTACACTAAGGCCCTTCTTATGTTTAAGGATTGTTCAGGCTAGTCACTTGAACTGTACCTGTTAGKGCTGCTGCTATTGAAATAATTATATTTTCGCTTGTTTATAGGTGACAAGTGAGGATTACTTACCTCATTCTAAGAAGCCGGAGACCTACATACCAAGTTTCAGTAAGTGCCAGGATTTCCCTTAACTTGTCAACCCCCCTGTGCGTGAGACTAACCCAGATGACCATCATGGTCAACTTTAGCTCGACTCAATTTAGAGCAGCTTTAACTTGGATTAGCATACAGAGTCAAAGGAGTCACCATTCCACATGCCACTAAAAGCTCTGAGAYGAGAGGAGTTCAAAGCTGCTTGGCAGATTAGTGTCATACCAGTCTCCCACTATGACAGAAGAGACATCGTGGGAATTAAGGCTTTGCTAACAAGTTATGGAAATTGCCCTCAAGCTGGAAAAAAAAACATCTTCATGTGTTGGGATTTTGCTTTTGATTCTAACGCATCAAACACAGAAGAACCTCCTGAAAAACTTCAAAACCTTCCTTGTTTTTAACATCCATCCATCCATCCATCCATTATCTATACCCGTTTATTCCTTTTCTAGGGTCACTGTTGCCCATATCCAGCAGTCACAGTGCGAGGGACGGGGTACACCCTGGACAGGTCGCAAGTTTTTAACACCCGCTGCCTTAAAATGGAGGGTGATCATGTAATTGTCTTTGTCTTTATGTGGGGTCATTTGTCTGTTAGCTAAATTTCTCATTTACCAATGAAACTATCAGAAAGTAATCACTGGATCTACAACTGGAAAACATTCTAAGTCTACGTGATTTAAGATGGCCTCCACATTTAATCAAAATTTGCAAACACAAAAAACGGCTATAACTCAGTCATTTTTACAGCTAAAGTTTAGTATGGTAGTAGCCGAGACTAATCCCCGACACACACTTCAGTACTAACAGATTTGACATCCAGGACAGTGGACKGTATCCATTCAATTCTACTTTCAATGTAAATAAGGTTCGAGGAATTTTTCATTACTAAAACTGCATGTTTTTCTTTGTAATTTTTTATCTTCAAGGTCACTGTAATTTTGACTCAGTATTATGAAACCCCACTTTGTGTTTGTGTTTCAGTGAAAATGCATTTTCTGTCTAGGTTCTGTGGAGTCCGAGAAATYCCCGCTCCCCAGAAGGAGGGAGGYCCCAGCAAATCTCAGAAGAAGTGGAAGCCTTAACTTGGACACAGATATTTTCAAAACCAAAAACTTTAGTGACACAGATGTTGGTAAGGAGTCGTTACTTACAAGAACTGATGAGTTTAAACTTGGTCTAAATGAAAAATGAAAGCAATAACCATGAAGTTTAGTCCAGTTGAAAATATTAAATTGTTTAAAATAATAATTTGTAGCAGATAAAAAGTTAATAAGTTTGTTTAAAAGGAGGGAAAACATGCAGCTTAGGTTACCTTCAGATCCAGGCCTCCCTTGCAAGAGAGATCTGTGATCTCAGTGGGATTTGCTTGGTTAAATAAAGGGTAAATAAAATA